CCCCCACCCACCTTCCCCAGGTGCTTCCAGGGTCTTGAGGTCCTAATGCTCAGGCATGAGGAGGTGGAGATTTTCTGTTTTGTGGAGGTTCTGAGTTTCCACCCTTGGTTTCTGACTGTCACCTTCTTCCCTTCTGATTTTAACTCACTTGGTTTCCCGTCCTCTGAAATTGGGACGGTATTTCTTCTGGGTGGTTTTATCTCTATTTTTGTATCCTTCTTTGTCCTCTGTTCCTTTGTCCCTAATTATTTTCTGAGACATTTGTCTCTTCTGACAGCTTGATATAATAGTTTCCTTGTATCTGGTCTTTACCCTTTTGGAATCTTTCTTGTTATCTCATTTTACCTGGGATGTTTTTTCTTATTGCAGCAGGTACTCGAGCCTTGGGCGGAAGGAGCTGGCGGCTGTCGTGGGACCTGGGCAGTCGCACTCTGAGCCTCACTTTCCCCATCTAGTGAAAGGTACTTCCTCCGGAGGCCGAATTCAGAACAAAATGACCAAAGTAACTAGAGCATGAGCTCCTTGAGGACAAGGATGGAATCTCCTCCTGCGTCCCCAGGATGTGCACGAGGCCGGGCACGACACGCAATGAACCACATTCGCCACACGCGCAGATTAAAAGGTGAATGAAACATGAAGATACGAACAGTAATGGTGTTAGAGGCTGAATGGTGTCCCCTCAGAATCCATATGCTGAAGCCTGGCCCCCAGCACCTCACAACGTGACGGTATTTGGAGGTGGGGACTTCACAGAGGTGAGTAACCTAAAATGAGGCCATTAGGGCAACCCTGATGCAATCTTACAAGGACTGGGGTCCTTGTAAGAAAAGGGGATCAGGACACAGACATGCACAGAGGGAAGCCCGCATGAGGACACGGGGAGATGCCGTGCACACACCAAGGAGGGAGGCCTCGGGAAAAACCAACCCTGCCTGCACCTTGATCTTGGACTTCCGGCCTCCAGGATCATGAAAACATAGATTTCCAGTCTGTGGAACTTTGTCAAGGCAGCTCCTAGTGAACTCATGCAAATAGAAACTACTGGTTGAGTGCTTATTATATGCAAGATACAGTGAAAAGAACTTAAATCTACCGATCACTTACCTTTATAATAACCCTATGTCAGACCCATGGGAGTTAAGGAATTACTCGAGGTCCTACTGAGATACTAAAGGGAGCCAGGTTCACAGCAAAGTGTGTGAGATTCCAGGGCCCACCCACTCATCTAGAATTCAGTATCACTGAAGGAAGGAGGGAGGGAGAGGAGGAAGGAAGGAAGGAAGGAAGGAAGGAAGGAAGGAAGGGGAGAGGAAGGGAAGAAGTGAAGGAAGGAGAGAGGGAGGGAGGGAAGGAGAGGGGGAGAGGCAGGGAGGGAAGGACAGAGGGAGAGAGAGAGGCAGGGAGGGAAGGAAGAGAGGAGCTAAGAGATCGTGTGCTCTGTCAAAGCTTCTAAAATAACAGTGAGGACACAGAAACCAAAGTAAGGAGGACATACCTGCGCTGAGCTCTGAAAGGTGAGCTGGGCAGGAAGCATCAGGACCTCTCCGCTCCCCACTTCTCCGGCCTTAATGAAAGCTGTGTAGCTGACCGAGAAGGAGTCTCCCACTGCTCAGACAGAAAGCATGTGTGAGTCAAGAGGGGCCCTTCCGCCACACCCAGACAAGCCCCAGGTCAAAGGAGGCCGCCACCACAGCTGACGTGGACAGCAAGGGTGGCGCTCAGGTCTCAGGTGCCAGCGATGGGGACAGTGAACTGTGCATGCCCGCTCATAGGGTCCCTCTTCTTCCCCTGGAAGAGAGTGTCAGCAGGTGCGAGGAGCCAGGGAGGGCCCTCTGCTGCCCCTGTACGGTCTTCTCCAGGGGCCCCCCGCCCTCCCCAGCACTGCCCGGGACTGGGCGGGTCAGTCTTCCTGATCCGGGGTATTGCCAACTCCCACAAACTGTTTTGTTTGGAATCTAGGCAGGGATCTACTTGTTCCCCAAAATCCTGTTCACACAACGAAGGAGAAGAGTCTTCATCGGACTTGCGGGCCTCGGTGGACGGACCGATGTGAAGCCCTACTCTGACCCCTCTGGGCAGCTGGTTCTGTGAGCATGGCAAGGGGCACCAGGAGGCAGGAACCGGCCCTGTGGGTTCATGTGGGGCCCCCTCAGCCCCATGGTCTCTAGCTGGCCCTCGACTGCTTCATTACAAAAATTGTCTGTATTTAAGGGGAATCTTCCCTGGCTCACAGTTCTCCTTAGTAAGAAGTCAAATGGAACATCCGGGCTCTCTGGAGACAGCAGCTCTGCTGCCGGACAGGGGCCACCCTCAGACCCCAAGGTGAACCAACAGCTGGGAAAGAGAGGAACGCCAGACGAGGGTGGGGGGCAGAGGGGCTACTACCTTAGGTTTCTAGCTTTGCGGGAGGCAGCCCCGCTTCCTGGAGGGACCCTCCCATCTGATGTTGGAGATGGGTCCTGCCCACCTTAAGTCCCAACAGCGGATGCCTCCCATTGAGCTGACGTTCTCGTGGGCTCTGGGCACCTGGCAGAGCCCAAGGCACTTTGTAAACTAAAACCGAAAGGACCATCTCTGTCCCAATTCTTTCTGTGACAACCACCCCGCGCCCACCAGAGCTGATACTGGCTTCTCGTCTGAACTGGGCGGTGGTGAGGCTGAGGTTGTGATACTTTCTTATTTTTTTTTTAACAGCTTTGAGATAAAACTTATGTATCACCCAGTTCACCCATCTTAAGTGTGCACTTCAAGGGATTTTGTGTATTTAGAGTTCTTCGACCACACCACAGTCTGATTTCAGAACATTTCCATCACCCGAACAAGAAAGGCAGTCGCTCTCCACTGCCACACCAAGGCCTAGGCAACCACTAATCTGGTTTTGGGGGGCAGGGGCGGTGGTAATAATTTGTCTTTCTGGACATCTCCTAGAAATAGAATCATATAATATGTGTTGTTTGTGTTTGATTTCTTGTACAGAGCAAACGTTTTTTGAGGTTCATCTATGTCATGCATGAATCAGTTCTTCATTCCTTCTTACTGCAAGTCATATTCCATTGTGGGGACAGACAGGATGCTCTCCCATGTCCCCTATACCTGAAATTTTTTAGAAGTAAGGCACACGAGAAACCTCGTGTTCAACTCATTCTGCTTCCAAGACAAAGGAGCTGCACCCTTTCTGCTGCGGAAGGAACCCCAACTCCTTCCGGACAGCTACAAACCTCGGGAGGCAGGGGCTGGGGGGGATGGATAGAATAAAATATTGGGAAGAGGGGTGGGGAATATTAACTTAATTTGAGAATGTTGGACTTTGGACTTCAAACTTACAAGGGCAAACATGTTGATCTCAGATTTTAATTCCTTTTGGACTTGAATACATTTGGGTTCCAATTTGTAGGGAATTCTTTCCTCAGATTTTCATTTCTCCCTGAGAATTTGCAAAAAGGAGGTGGTAGCAGGTCACTGCTGGAGGATATTTGTGCAAATGAACCCAGTGTTGTCCCCTAAGGGCACTGCAGAGCTCGTGACCCACCTTGTTGACTAGCACCTTGTTGACTAACGTGGCAGGACTTGATTGAATGGCTATCAGAAGCAGGGAGAATTTCCAGCCTTGGGTATAGAGTACCCTTTAGGTTATTTGATAATGTAATGCTGTGAGTCAAAGCCTTCACAAGACAGAAAAACCACCTCTTCTACCCTCCAGCAGTCCCAAAGGGACACACACAGGGGCAAAAGGTGGGTGGTTTGGGGGTGCAGGCCTGTCCTGATCTCCTTCCCCAGGGGACCAGTCGCAATCTGCAGATTCGTGAGAAGCCCCAGGAGTGTGGAGAACAACACAAGAGATCCTCAGGGGAAGCTCACGCTCACCACCCACCCCTGACATTTTTAGTCCGCAAGCACGGGCACCCTCCCTGAAACAGGGCGGGCTTCTCCCCACCCCTCCTCACTGGGCAGCTCACCCCAACTGATGGGAGGGACTGACCCACGGCAGTGGGCTGCTGGCTGGGGGCACCAGCCTGCAATGGTCAGTGGGGGACAAAGCCCATCCCGCTCTGCGGGTCAGGGACTAGGGCCGCCTGTCTCTAAGCCTGATCAATCTAAGCCTGTCCTCCAGCTCTGCCTCCACCTGTAACTGGGGTCAGCGTTTAACCCTCAAATACTGTCAAGTACTTCATTTCTCAACGTGTGGAGCCCTCAAAAAAAAAAAAAATGTAAAGGAGAGGAGTAATGAGCACTGAGGCTATGGAACCACAGGATTTTTATTTTAAAAATCCTCAACACCTTCATTTTATCTTTATGCAATGATAAATCCTTAGGCTCACAGACGGCGTGACAGAATCAACTAAGACGATACCGCAGTGAAGGTCCTGTGAGCAGACCTTACCTGGTGCCGCGGCTGGTCGCCCTCACAGCCTACGCCCGGGCGCCAGCCCCCGGACCCCACAGCACGCCCCGCTGTGGACGGAGGAGACCTCATTGCCTGCGATGCCCAGAGCAGGAGGCAGAGACTGCCAGGGTGCCCTGCACCTGCTCCCCCGGGGAATGAGCAGGACACTACCTCTCCCCTGGGGCCATCACTGTGCTCCATATGACACACACACACACACACACACACACACACAACCAAAACAATCAACCAAATCACTACTGGCATGGGGAACACTTCTCCGGCCAGGCTTCCCATGAAATAACCCCCTTCTCCTTACAGTCACATCCTGAAGCAGGCACTGTCACCGTCCCCAAGTGACAGAGAGGAGGCTGATGTTCTGGGATGGGCAGCGGGCAAAGGTCAGGGTTGGTGGGGCTCAGCACCCCGCGCTGACCCGCGGCCCCGAGCGGGCGAAGTGCAGGAGGGCAGGGAAGTGAGGTGCAGGGGAGGAGAGGGGGGCCTCCCAGGCAGAGCCTGGGGCCTGAGCGAATGCCGCCAGGCAGGGGAGAGTGACAAGTGTGGTCTGTGTGGCAGGAGTGCAGATGCTGGGAGCCGCTGGGGAAATGAGAGAAGAGAGGCAGGCCTGCCAGATCAGAGGCTGGGAGAGCATGGGGAGGGACCCGGGCAGAGCCAGGGCACGTCGCCTCGCTCGGTCTCTGCTACCATTCTACGAGGCACTGATAGACACACGTCACATCCCAAGTTCAGAGAAATTCAGTAATTTCCAGAGGCAACGCAGCTCCTAATTGGCGTGAGGAGTCAAATCTAGGTCTGTTTGAGACCGAGTGTGTGCTCTGCTCACTAGCTTAAGAAGGGGGGTGGGGGCTGGGATTTGTTTTTCCATCTTTGAGGGAAGGCACTGAGGATCACTTGGTTGGGACGTATCCTAATGGTTTTTATGACATTGCTTAAATCACAGCCAGCAAAGAGGTGGCTGCTTGTGGGACAACCCCATTGGTAGCTGCTGTCAAGAGGATGGGGTCAGGTAGGACTCTGAGGCCCTTTCTAGGCTCAGAGGGAAAGTGTAGCATGATTGGTGAGCAAAGTGGGCTCAGTGGAGAGGTCAGTCCTGAGCATGCGAGAGCATACACTACAGGATAAGGGTCATGGAGTGGACCATCTTTTCCTCTGTAAAGGAGTTAAGTACTCAGAATAAAAGAAGTCTCACCCTCCCGAGAAAATGGGCAGTCCTGAGGTCGTGGTAACAACGAATTCCAGAATTCGTTGAAACCTGTTTAATTAACCAACGACAACTCGCCTCAGGACACACACCTCCAAAGCCAACCAGGGACGGTGGCGCTCAGAAAGCCAGCCCGTCAGCGCAGAGGTACTCCAGCAAACAGGCGAGAACACGAGTGAAGGTCTCACGAGCATGCTTCCAGGGCTGGTGTCAAACCAATCCCCCCTCGACCCAACAGCCCCCAGCACAAGCTCTGCCTTTCACTGAAGGATAAGAAACCTGGTCCTCTGGCGGTGGACAGACAGGGGTTCACTATAAACTCTATCTTTGGTTATGTCTGGAATTCTTCATAATAAAAATCGATCTACTAATAAAAATACTAGAAATACTTATTCTTAACAACTCTTCCCCCAAATCCTACCTCTCTCTAACCTAAGTTAACAAATCCAGCTTTTTGGGTGCGGTTATTGAGTGGTGGTCTTCTCCTTCGATACCTGATAGTAAACTCCGTTGTGAGTGAACACGTCATGTGTTTAAGAACCCGCCTGCCATGCATCACACACTCCGTCAGCGTCCGTACGTTCACTTGCCCTCCCTGACTTCATACGCACTGCTATTACCTTGCAGAAACTTCTTTCTGAAAGCCTGGAATCCCGCCGAGGTCTGGTTTCCGGTCGACCCCATAACGGAGAGGCCAGTGATGTTGTCCAGCAGGAGCAGATCGGAGAGGTTGGTGGCCACAGGGGTCCTGGTGTTGTCCACGAGCAGTCTCACATGAGCTGTCTGCAGTTCGCTCTGCCCGGACACCTGGGACAGGAGATGACAGGAGGGCAGCTTTGCTGGCAAGTCCCATCTCCTAACATGACCCCCCAGCTGGGCCTGTGCACGTCTGGTCCTCAGGCAGAGGGAGGGCACGACTGTCTCCCCGGGGCTGGAGAACTTATCAGGTCTGATTTCAAAGGCCCCAGGACATGTTTTGACTCACGCTTGCTAAGCTGTTGCTTGGTGACAGATTCAAAGTCACTGGGACCCTGAAATGCAGTGAAATTACTCCTTCAGGGAAACAGGAAAAATATCAAAGCAAGAGCCACAGTCAGGTTGGGGAGATGGTGGCCATCGGTGTCATCAAGAAAAGCAAACAATGGCTCCTTCTCACACAGTCGTTTTGAAGGTTCAGCCCAGCCCCAGAGCCCTGCCCAGGGCGTCTGACTGCCATCTGACGTCCAGGATCGAGCAAGCCGGTCAGTCTCCATCCTCCTGGCCAGTCTCCCCCAGGTGGGCTCTGCTTGGCCATGTGTTTGAACGGCTCGGCTGCTGGAAGCTGTCCGGTGGCCCAAGCAGCTTGGCTCCCTGCCTGAGCTCAGCAACCTTGCCCTGTTCCCACTCTCGAAGCTTTTCCCACCACCCCTGCCCTGCCTTCACCCAGCCTTCCCAGAAGGGACCCAGGAGCTGGGGAAAGAAGGAAGCAATGTCTGTTCATGCAGGTACACACACACACGCACACACATGCATGCATACAGCAGAGACATCTCCAGGAGGACGTACAAGAAACCGGTAGCACCAACTATATCCAGGAAGGGGAACGGGACAGCTGAAGGCATGAGCTAAATCGAGGCTTGTACAGTAGAGGGTTAACTCCGCAGGTGCGGACTGCCCACACCCCGCACACCCCGAAGAAAGGACTGACTCCTGACCAGCTCCTGGGAGGTTACCTGTAAAGCCCTTGGACTACCCTGCCTGAGAAGAGCATCTTTATACCTGGGGCCTGGGCCACAGCAGGCCGTGTGTTCTAACGGTGTGACTGGGGGCGGGGGGGGGCGTTGAGCCGAGCTGTGTCAAGGTGACCTCTGGAGCGGCTGGAGACCAGTTACTGAGGTCAGCCATGTGGGCACTGCATGTCTCCATGAGGGACCTGCATTAAAACCCCTGGACATCGAGGCTCGGGTGTGTGTCTCTGGTGGACAATACTTGGTACATGACGTCACATGTCACTGCTTTGGAAAAAGGAATGCCGGCCGTAGGATTCCACCAGGGAAGGATAGTGGGAAGCTTGCACCTGGTCTCACAACTCCTTCCTATGTGCCTTTTACTTTGCTGACTTGAATCTGCACGCTTCTGCTATAATAAATCATAACTATGAGTCTAATGGCTTCCTGAGTCATGCCAGTCCTTCCAGGGAATCATGGAGCCCAAGGGAGGGTGGTCCTGAGGATCCCCAACACAACAACAATGTGAAACGCCATCTCCCAGGATCAGTAAGGATCCGAGACTTTAAAAACACTGAATAAAATTTTTACACTGTCAAGCACCATATCAATGTAGAAAGAAAATACATCATTTTTTCTTTCCCATTCTAAATGACCACAGTGCATTTTCACAAACAGGAGTTTAACTGTTACCAAAACTCTTGTCCTGGTGCCATGATACAGAACAGAAAATCTCCTGTACCTCACTTCATCCCTCACATGTCCAGACACAGGTGGACAGCCCTGTGACTTGCCAGTCCTTAAATATGTAACTCTACCCAGACATGATTTGGTCAAAAATCCAACTATTTTCTCCTCCACTATAAGTCACCTATGAATACCTACCATGGCACATTTCTGAAAAATCACTCCATCCTCAGCATTTTTTGGAACATCTCTTGAGATGTCTCCAAACTACAATAAAATATAGAAATGATTAGAAAATGAAAAACACTTCATACTATGCACGTTTAATAAAAGTACAAGATGTATTAAAAAAAATTAAAAATAAATAAATACATGTACAAGATGACCTTTTAAAGAAAGGATAGAGATTTACTTCTGTTATCTAATAACTGCCTTAAATAATCTTGAAGATTTTTTTAAGAAAGTATTTAAAGGATTGGAACTTAAGCCCATGAGGAAGGAAGAATGCGGGCGTGTGGTCACCCAGAGCTCTCTTTTGTCCGGGGGGCTCACGTAAACAACACCCCGTCACAGGAACACAGCACACTGGGGCTGACACTTGGACAAGAGGAATGCGTGTGCGTGTTTATAAAACCGGCAGTGAATGGGGCCAGTTAAAGCAGAACCTGCAGCCCACTGCTCGGATTCACACCTCCTACTCATCTTCAATACCAGATGCTTCTGTACAGAAGGAATAAGCTTTTCTAAAGAACCAAAGCCTATGGCATCTTATACACAGTGGGCCCCAAACTGGTTTCTTTCCAACTTTTGCTAATTCTGTTAAAGGACCAAAGGTGTGACTTACCAGGCGGTGTGTTATAGGAGACTCTCTTTTAAACAAAGTCTTCTTGGGCCACGAGGGAGTAAAAGCAAGCATGGACTGAGTCCTTGGCCCACTAGAGGGTGCATAAGTTGGGAGGGGATGGAAAACTTCACTTTTCCTGCTGAATTTCCTTCCAAATGGTGCTCCCACTGCAAAACAGCAATGTACGTGCATGACAGAATGCAGGAAGGCAGTCAGACACGGTGGGTAAACTCAGGAGGTAGACCACATATATGAGGAAGGCCCCTGGAAGATGTCTGCTGAAAATGAGTAAGTGAATGAATAAATGAATGAATGACCTATCATCTCTTTGCCAGGAAAATGAGATGTGCTCACTTTGGGGGGCATGGGCTATGGAGCCTAAAGAAAGTGCTTCTCAAAGTGTGCGCCACTCATCGTGGGTGTGGGCTAAAATGCACATTCCTGGACCCCCTCCCAGATCTACTGAATCAGACCACCAGGTGAGTGAGATGCCTGGGTGATTCCTACACACATGGCATCAGACAGCCCTGGGTTCAAATCCTGACTCTGTCATTTACCAGCTGGGTCCTTGGGCAAGTATCTAACTTCCCTGTGCCTCAGTTTCCCTAACTCTGCCATGGACAGAGAGTAAGTCTCCCCTCACTGGGTCCTTCTGATGACCTGTCAAGCAAAGGGTGAGCACCCCTGACAGCTACTGTGAGGAGCCAAACCTGGTGTCTGCAAAGCCACCCAATGTGAAACGGCTCCCTCCAGAATTTGCTCTACATCAATGTATGTTGAAAATACATGAGCGCCAGGGGTAACACAGAAACGTCAGTTAGAAGGGACTGGCAGGGCTGTCAGGAGTGGGTGCTGATGGGTTGTGTGGCCCCAGACACTCAGAGCCTCAGTTTCCCTCACTTGGGAATGCAGCTAAAATATCCCTGAGACGGGGCTGCCTAAGGAACAAACGAGACGCCGGGCTGAACGTGAACACCCTGAGGCGTTTTATCAAAGCTCAAAGCCAGAAACCCAAATGTCTGAAACAACTTGGATTGTTGGGTCGGGTGTTTTTCAACATATACCTTCTACCCAGATGCAAACTGGAAATTGAGTAAGAATGACTATTTTTTAGTCGTTCTTACGGTGTTATTGATAGCAAGATCTTCAGAAGTGCTTGTGAAAACTTTTATAATTTCAGAATCCACGTAGGAAGAAATAAAAACTTGAAAAAAAGAAAAAAGGCATAGAACTGGATCCTGGATCACATTAGAATCTTTTTCCTGCATAGTGTCTGTGGTTGAGTTGGGTCAAGGTCATGGTGTTGGAACGGGGATAAAGGTGAGCGCTGGGGACTCACCATGCAAGCAAGTGGGCACGTTCCCAGGCCGGCTGCTGACTCAGTCAGGAGTGTCTGAGTAAATCCCACAGGTGCCAGGGAGAAGGGACGCCCATCTCTGACCCTCGCCCGGCCCCTCAGGCTAAGGGACACATGCTTTCTCGGCAGATTTGCTGGACATAAACCCATAAGGCCACACTGGGCTTTATCTCTGGTGCACCTGTTTATGCCCCCTGGCCCTCAGAAGGCCCAGCCACAGGCTCTCATGAACCTGAATGAGGGCAGGTGTTGACAGACAGTATAGAAGAAATTCATGCTATGAAGTAACTACCGCCACCCCGCAGGTCATCGGTCAGTGGCCTCCCCATTCTTGCCACCAGCAAGTGGGCCTGTTTGTGCATCTGTGCAGTGCTTTGCCTACACCCTCACTCTCCTGCTCTGGCTGCCACATGCCTGGAAGCCTCTCCTTCCATCCCCTGGCCCTGCTAAGGTGTCAGTTCTCAGGACTCTGCTGAGGAGCCCCTCCTCCAGGGAGCCCTCCCTGAAGCTCCTCCTAGTGGCCTTACCGCTCTGTCTCCTGCTCTTAATGCAATCACAGAGTAGTACATGGGGCTCCCTTTCACCAACGAGTTTGCCTAATTGATGAATAAAAGGTCTCTACGAATGCAGTAATATCACCTCAATCTATTTTACTCAAGAGAAAACACTGGATTTTGTAAAATGTAAAGTCTGCAGAGAGTAACAAAGGACATAGGAAATACTTTTTAACTCCCCAAGTAAGTGAGATCTGTTTATTCCTGGTATAAAACAGGATTCTCGAGGAAGGTGTATTTACAACCTGTGCCGAGGGGACTCTGGGTGGAAAGATGGTTTTGTCACCGAAGCTCCTCTCTACTCAGTAAGAGTCCTGCTCAGTCTATGCAGACGAGGGGGGCCAACCTGGACCCCAGCCCATCCTGGTCCCCAGGAAGCAGAATGAAGCACAGAACCCAGAATACTCTACCCCCAGCCCCAGGGACGGGCTCGGGGACGGGCACCGGCCTCAGGCTGAGCCCACTGGTCTTCCCAGGAACTCCTGCCAAGCTACGGGGAAGTCTTCCGCTGCCTAAGTATCAGCTGTACGGTTCCCAAAAGGCTCCCAGGAATGAGGGAACCAGAGGAAAGCAGGGCTGAGATGGAAAGAGAAAGGCATAGCCTTGGGATGCCGAGCCCCTGGGCCAGCAGCGGCCAGGCCTGCCTGGCTCAGTTATAAGACCATCAGGTTCTGCTTTTCTTAGGTGAGTTCCAGCTCAGTTTCTGTCACCTGGTGTGGTGGGCTGAAATTTACCTGTCCAGGGAACCGGTAAATATGCCACCTTGTATATAACAGGGACTTCCCAAATGTGATTAAATGAAGGATGCTGATTTGAGGAAATCGCCTGGATTATCTGAGTGGGGCAGAAATGTAATCCCAAGTGTCCTTCTAAGAAGGAGGCAAGGGAGTGCTGACAGGCAGAAGAGAGGAAGGCCACGTGCCCCCGGAGGCAAGATGCTGGCGTGCTGGCTCTGAGCTGGAGCAAGGGGCCGGGACCCAAGGCAAGCAAGGAGCACAGCTGGGGATGCTGGAGAAGAGAAGCAAAGGTTCTCCCCGGAACCCCGGGGGGAGTGCGGCCGTGTCCACACCTCGACTTCAGTCCAGCTACGCTGATTCCCAGCCTGCCCTCCAGAACGCTAAGAGAATAAATCTGTGTTGCTTTAAGCCACGAAGTCTGTGGTGATTTGTGAAAGCAGCCTCAGGAAACCCACACACCTGCTCATACGCACATTCTATATCCTATTCATCAGACTCCTTCAGGGGGTAATGTGGACGGGCTGCCTTACCCTGACTCCTGTTCTGACCACAAAAGCTCCAGCCAGCTCCTGGAGGGGGCCACACACTGCCCCCTGCTCCGCAGGTCAGGGGGTAACGTACCGCATTTGCCCATGGTGGGCACATGAGCAGAGCATGAGGGAGATGGAGGCAGGGGGGCTCGGACCTCAGGGTCTGATTCTCTGAACGAAAAATGAACCAAAAGACAAACTTACCTTCAGTCTTAAAGCGAGAGCTTTCCACACTGGGCCAAATCAAACGGGGCAAGTCCTAAAAAATTCAAAAGGCAAAAGTCACTAATGAAGAACATGCTTGTGAGAAGTGACTGCAAGTCATTTTCATAAGTGGCTCACACAGAGATGAGTTGCACTCTTCTCCAGAAATCGGAAACAAAATCTTTCCAAGTGAGCCATCTCCACCAGGAGTCCAGGATTATCTCCTCTTTCCCACAGAGGCCAGCAACTCAGTCATGACTGCATTTTAGGAAGCTGTCCTGGAAGGCAGCACTGTGGGGTCAAAATTTCACGTACTCAGACCTGAGTTCAAATCCCAGCTCTGCTTCTCACTAACCCTGTGACACTGGCTGAGCCTCCAGCCTCTGAGTTCCCAAGATCTTGCAAGTCCCAACGGAGTGGCTCATAAAATGCCAGATAGGGAGTCCAGAGAACTGAGTTCTAGCTGGAACCATTTCCTTGCTGTGTGTCCTTGGCCAAGTCTCTCAGCCTCTCTGAGCCTCAGACCCTCATCTAAAAAGCAAAGACCTCAAAGCCTCCTCCCAGCTTGCTTCACTTTGCTCAGTGATGAAACGGGGCCCGGCCAACTCTCCCAGTCCACCTTTATAAGTTAGCGGGCCCCAGAAAGCCCAGACCTTTCTACTAGAAAACAATAATAATAATATTAATAATAATAATAATAATAATAATAATGGGCACCTGGGTGGCTCAGTCATTAAGTGTCTGCCTTCGGCTCAGGTCATGATCTCAGGGTCCTGGGATCAAGCCCCGCATCGGGCTCCCTGCTCAGCAGGAGGCCTGCTTCTCCCTCTCCCACTCCCCCTGCTTGCGTTCCCTCTCTCTCTGTGTCTCTGCCAAATAATAAATAAATAAATAAATCTTTAAAAAAAATAATGATGATGATAAAGCTGTCCTGGCTGGAGCCCTCAAAATGGGCTGGGTCCCATGCTGTGCACTCTAGCACACAAACAGTCTTCATAATAAGCCAGGGAAATGTCATTCTCCCTTTACAGCAAAATCCCCACACACGGGTAACGAGATAACTCCCTGCAGGTCCCACAGGGGAGAAGAGACTAGCTTTGAATGCACAGAGCCCAGCTCTGGATGTGCTGGTTTGTATGTAATGGAGGCACACAGGGTGTGCACAGGCAGTGAAGACCATGACCGCTGAGTGGGACACTCAGGCCCAGCTCGGGGCCCAGCCCAAGGGCTAGTTCCTATGGCTGCCGTTGGGACAGCGCTCACCTGGGCAGGACACCGTGGGGTCGAGAGAGACCGCGTGGCCACTGTCTTTGCCCACCTGGAAGGCTTTCTCCGTATCTCTGCTTGTGGTCACACAAGCCCGACCCCTTGGCCACTGAGGGCCATGTGTTTCAGACCCAGTGCGTGGAGACCCCCAGACCCCCGGACATCCCAGGCTGAAGCGGCTCTCCTGGGATGACATAAGCCAGCTTCCCGGCTGCACGGAGGAGGCCCAGGTGAGGAAACAGAGAAGGTAGACAATAAGCCAGACCCAGCCAGCCTGGCACAAGACCTACCCCAGAGCTCTTCCTGCCTTCCCCCACGGTGACCTCACAGTACTCCAATGCACCAGTGAAATCCCCTCTTCCCTTGACCCCCACAGACACACTTGCCCAAGGGTCGCCTCTCTCTCCCTGCCCCCATGTGGCCCCTGTGCAGTGTGCCTCCCTCCTCCAGGACCGGTGGGTACAAGCAGCCTCTTCCTCCTTCCCGTGCCTCCCCACAGTGCTCCTCCTATTTCACGTCCACACCTGACTCGTCATCGGAAAAACCCATTTTAAGAAGCACAACACATAGGGCACACCCAAAGGGGCTGACAGTAGGATCACAACGAGTTATCTGTACACGCACGTCCAGAGCGGCATCATTCACAATAGCCAAAATGTGGAAGCAGCTCCGGTGCCCATGGCCAGATCCATGGAGAAGCCAAACAGGGTCCATCCAGAGGAAGGGATGTTATTCAGCCTTAAAGGAAGGACATTCTGACACCTGCTACCACATGAATGAACTTGGATGACATCGTGCTCAGCGAAAGAAGCTGGCCATGAAAAGACAAATGCTATAGGATTCCACTTCTGGGAGGTCCCTGGAGTCATCAGATCCACACAGACAGAAGGAAGGGTGGTGGGCGCCGGAGGCTGGGGGAGGGAGGCCAGGGGAGTGAGTGTTTCACGGAGAGAGTTCCAGCTTTGCCGAGATGCAGAGTTCTGGAGGTGGATGGTGGTGATGGCTTAATGCCCCTGAACTCTACACTCAACAATGGTTAAAATGGTAAATTTTAGGTTATGTGTATTTCATCGCAATTACAAATACGAATAAATGGAACAGATAAACAAAGCAGATCTATGTTGACCTAGTAAAAACATTAAAATTCAAGTGAAATCACTGGGTTGCAAAACTATAATATCAACCCATTTAATAAAAACAGATTTTACACTTCAAATGTATGATTATGTATCTCATAATTGTGTTTATATATTCAATTATATATTTATTTATATACAGTAATTTTTATTTGTACACGTATTTACCTATTTACCTACATGTATTTATTTCTATGTTTAACATATGTAAAGTATATGTAGATATTTAATAATATAGTTCATATTAATCACACACTTAATGAATAATTATATGTTTAACAGTACATGACATAATATACCATGACCACGTTATTACGTTGAAAAGTCTAGGAAGAGGTTCTGAAGTGTCAACCTCGGTGGCCTTGGGAAGAGTGGTGCCCCTGCGGGCAGGGGAGGGAAGCCCCATTCCTCCACGCCATCTGTGCCCTTTCATCTCCTACAACCAGAAGCCCAAGTCCGTCCGTCACAACAAAGTGATGCAGACGAGCAATGGGAACCACGCCATGGGGCCTCTCGGCAGGCCTGTTCCTTTGGGGTCTCCCGGGCCCTCACACCTGACGTGAGATAACCCAGAGTGTCCCGGGACAGCTCGGTGTGGCCAGCACGGCCCCTAGTCCAGAAGGTGCCTTCCACAAGGCAGAAAGAGGCACCTCTCCCTCAAGAGCCCTCCCGTGTGTCAGATGCTGTCGGGATACACTGGGGTGGACGGAGTCAGTCTTTGCTGCCATCTGGCAGGAGAAAAGTCTCGTGCTAACAGCACAGATTGGGGCTGTGACCTCCTGCTTGCAAGCGCAGTACGGAAACGGGGAAAGGGGCATTTCCCGGCAGAGAAGCCCAGCCACCGAGACCCCAGCCAGGAGGCCACGGTTGATGCCCACAGCGATAAACCATATCCACAGGATGCGCCCAGGCAAACCCCAGGAGACAGCTCCTATACAACACATCTACACAACCCCGGCCTCCTGGAACTTTCCACTCATTCTCTCAACCAACACTGGCTGCATGGCAGGCTCTGCACTGGGCACTGCAAGGTGAGCAAAGCAGACCTGGCCCCTGACTTGGCCAAGGGATGATGGTCTCCTTACCGACAGACATTTCCATCCGAGAGGAAGGGGCAGGTTCCAAGGGAACAAACAACCCACGAAGGCCTTCGGGAGCCCCAGGTGCCAGAGGCCCCTTGCTGTGCTCCCAGAGGTCTCACTGGTTTCTGGGTATCACCAGCCTGGGGGGGTGCCTCTCTGGGGGCTCCTTGGCCACACGGAGCAGCCTGCTCTCACAGAGACCATGCTCAGGTGGCAGCCGACAGCCCCTTTCAATGCCCGCCTTCCCCTCCCTGGTTATCCCTCTCTCCAAAATGGCAGCCCCTGACAAGGTCACCATGACCTCTACCAGGCCCTGTTCAATGGCCCATTCTCCACCCTCACTGCACACAACTTAGTACAGCGTCCCAGACGTGAGTGCATCAGCATCCCACTGCTGCTGATAATCACCAGGAACTTTATAGCTTAAAGCAATGCACATTTATTACTTTACAGTTCCGGAGGCCAGAAGTCTGACAGGAGTCTCAATGGGCTAAAATCAAAGTGGGGGCAGGATTTGCAACAACGTGGATGGAACTGGAGGGTGTTATGCTGGGCGAAATAAGTCAATCAGAGAAAGACATGTATCATATGACCTCACTGATATGAGGAATTCTTAATCTCAGGAAACAAACTGAGGGTTGCTGGAGTGGTGGAGGGTGGGAGGGATGGGGCGGCTGGGTGATAGACCTTGGGGAGGGTATGTGCAATGGTGAGCGCTGTGAATTGTGTAGGACTGTTGAATCACAGACCTGTACCTCTGAAACAAATAATACATTATATGTTAAAAAAAAAAAGAAGAAGAAGAAGAAGATAGCAGGAGGGGAAGAATGAAGGGGGGGAAATCGGAGGGGGAGATGAACCATGAGAGACGATGGACTCTGAAAAACAAACTGAGGGTTCTAGAAGGGAGGGGGGTGGGAGGACGGGTTAGCCTGGTGATGGGTATTAAAGAGGGCACGTTCTGCATGGAGCGCTGGGTGTTATGCACAAACGATGAATCATGGAACACTACATCAAAAACTAATGATGTAACGTATGGTGATTAACATAATAATAAAAAATAAAATAAATAAAGAACAGAGTACAGGGAAAAAAAAAAGTGGGGGCAGGGCTGCATATTTTTTTTTCTGGAAGCTCTAGGGGAGAATCCATGTCTTGGCCTTCTCCAGCTTCCAGAGGCCACCCACGTGCCTTAGCTCAGGGCCCCTTCCCGCACTTTCAAGGTCAGCAACAGGCTGTCCTCACACTTCCACTCTGACTCTCTCTTCCGCCCCCTCTTCCATGTTCTGGGACCCTTTGTGATTACATCCGGACCACCCAGATAGTCCACAATGACTTCTTTCTTTTAAGGTCAGCTGATTAGCAACCTGAATTCCACCTGCAATGTTAATTCCCCTTTGCCAGGTAACCTAACATATTCACTCATTCCAGGGATCAGGACGTGGATGTCTTTGGGGGGCATTAGTCTGCCTCCACTGACCCCTCTCTCCCTAAAATGCTCTCCTCCCCTGACCTCTGGGTCACAGTGTTGGTTCCCTTCCTGTCACACCAGCCACCCCTTCTCATCTCCTTTGTTGGATCTGTCCAAGGGCTCTGGGCTTGGTCCAGGCCTCTGCCCTCAGACCTCCTTCTTCCCAAACCATACTTCCTCCCAAGGTGAATGCAGCCATTTCTTTTTTTTCTTTTTTTTTAATTTTATTGTATTATGTTATGTTAATCACCATACATCACATCATTAGTTTTTGATGTAGTGTTCCATGATTCATTGTTTGCGTATAACACCCAGTGCTCCATTCAGTACGTGCCCTCCTTAATACCCATCACCAGGCTAACCCATCCCCCCGACCCCCTCTCCTCTAGAACCTTCAGTTTGTTTCTCAGAGTTCAGCCATTTCTACGCTGACTGCTACCCGGTGTAGTCCAGCTCCCGTAGCTGCAGCTCTGATCCCTTGCCCAAGTCTTGATTTGTCCATCCAATGCTCTGTTGTACACACTCATGTGGTCAAACTCAGCAAGACCAGAACAGAATTCCCGATGGCCCCACGAGGCTTCAGCGTATTAGCCAATGGTATCTCTATTCTTCCACTCGCTTGGCCCAAAGTCCTTGGCTTCATCCTTGACTTCTCTCTTTCTCTCTCAATCCACAGCCGATCCCAGCAAATCCCACTGGCTCCACCTTCAAAATACACCAGAAACCCTATAGCTAGCAGCCCACCGTTCACACCCTGGTCCAGTACTCCTCTGTCTTGGCCTGGTCTCCTACCCGCCCCCTCTCTTGCTGCCACTTCTGCCCTTGGTTCTCTATCCTCACCCCTGCTCCGGAGGTGCTTTAAAAAGATGAGCCACGGTGTATCACTTCAGAGCTCAAAGCCCACATGGTTTCCACCTTACTCAGAATAACAGCCGGGATCCTGAGCATAAGTCACGGGGCCTTTCCTGATCTGGCCCCTCCTCACCCCCTTGGCCTCACCTCCTCGACCCCCTCCCTTGCTCCGGCGGCCCTGGGGCCTCCTTGCTGGTCCTGGACCACACCAAGCACACCCCGCCTCTGGCCTCACTATCATGGCACTCCAGAAAACTCTTCTGCTGGACATTCCACTCAGGGCTCGGCTCACTTGTCGCCTCCTCCAAGCACCCTCCCTGACCACGCGACCAGACGGTGCTCACCACCATCTCCCCCAGTCCAATCTGTCCACTGTACTTCTCTCCGCAGCCCAAACCACCACCAGCGCCACTGTTTACTTCCTTCTTCTGTCCCAAGAAGGCAGATTTCTTAGGAGGAGAGACTGCCTTGCTCTCTGATATCCCAGCACCCAGAACGGAGCCTGGCACCTAGAAAGCCGTGCCTGAACGCCGTAAGTGAATGGCAGACTCAGAGCCTCTTGTCCCCTCAACCCTTCACAGCCTCTTCTCTCCTTCCAGCAAACTCCCGACAGAAGTTTCCGCCATGGTGAGAATGTTCCATAGTCTGGGCTGCCCGATACAGCAGACTCTGACACACACGGCCATGAAGCACCTGAAATGTCTAAATTTAAATAACCACAGGGGGCTAGCAGCTCGTGCATCGACAGAGCATCTCGGGTCACGCGGGAAATGGTTGTAACTGCCTCTCAGTTTACCCTCTGCAAGAAGGGACAGACGATACGTTTACATGTACCTTCAGGTTTTCAAAGCACTTTCTGGTAGAGCCTGGGGACAAGTGTCCACCAGGATGTTCCAGCACTGGTTTCTCAGAGAAGAAAGTAAGCGCAAAGCAGGCCAGGTGAGTGGGTCTGAACACGGGGGCCCGCGCGAGAGCCTAGGACAGGCCGGGGCAGGGCGGGGGTGGCTCTCTGGGCCGGGTTTTCTCCTCTGCAAAATGAGCCAGACACATCCCACCTCATGGGACAGGAGCAAGTGAAAGGATCCTGTGAAAACATTCTGTCATGGGACTTTTTTAAAGCTCAGTAAATTGACACAGTGTTGTTACTCAGTCTTCTCTAGTGAAAATCTAATAACAGAAAATGAACAGAATCTCCTTTAAAGATTTACAGATTAAAACTCTGTAGCAAGGGTAGCAAGCGCCTTGGGGCCTGCAGGTACAGAACCCAACAGGACCAGGGGAGCCAGCCCCTGGGGCAGGGCAGGGAGGACCCCCAAGGCAGTGAGGGGAGAGGCCACTGAACAGGGCAGTCCTGGGAACAGAACCCTAGCTGCCAGGAGTCGATGAGAGGGGGTGAGGGCTGGGGAGGGACGTGGTCATAGGTACACCAAGGACAGATCACCCATCCCGGACACCAGCCGTTGGGGGAAATAGGTGGGGGAGAGCACAAATTAGGGGGTGGAGGAGACTCAGATGAAACGGTCACCAAAGGCCAGAGGCTAAGTGGTGGGCACTGAATCTGGGGGCTGGGGCGGGGGTTGCAGACATCTCAGCGGACTCGGAGGAAAAGGCAGGAGAACTGGTGGCCAGCTTTGGAGGAAGGGGCAAGGGGAATCTAGGGAGACAGCCAGGACTCTGCACCTTCCCAAATCTGGGGCCACAGAGGGAGGGGTGGATGGGAAGTGGAAAAATTTAGCAACCAAGAGAGTGCAGTCAGGAAAACGCCAGCCAGTAATCCCAACTGTTCTTCTCTCTCTCTCTTTTTTTTTTTTTATGCTTCCTTTTTTATTATGAAATGTTTCATACATACAAAAGATGGCATATAATGTATATGTAAATTATAACAAATAATAATAAAGCCAACATCTGGATACCTATCACCCAGGTGAAGAAGTAAAATATTACCAATATATTTCAGACTTCCTCCCAATAGCATTCCCCTTTTTTCTCAACAGACATAATCAGTATTGTGAATGTGCTGATTTTTTTTTTTTTAAAGCATTTAGAAAGCACGGACATGCATTTATTTGCAAAGATGTCAAACCGGGAATTAAGAGTACACTGGCACTTGGGAAACTGAGATTAGAATCTCCACCAGCTGTAGGCACGATTATCAATAGAGTGTCCCGTTAAGTGCAAAGAACTTATTTTAAATAGCATAAAAGCAAAGTAGGTTATAAATGATTACGGAAATAGTCAGGGGTATCTTAGTCATTACTGAAGTGACCAAGATTCACCAGTGGATAACTGTAACTTTTAAGGGTAATAAAGAATATATAACTTAGGAACTGCTCATTTTTTCATATTACTTAGATTTCTTCTCACAACCGCTACACTCGGGACGTGCTCAGCTCTGCAAACGCGGTGCCTAGGCCCACGCGCCTACCCCTCGCACCCACCCCTCGCACCCACCCGCGGGGTAGACGCTGCAAAGGCTTACAGACCAGGAATCCGAGGCGCAAGAAGTGAAGCGCCTGGCCTAGGTCCCTGGGCTTTTAGGCTTCAGGGCGAGATTCGACCCGGGCGGCTGGCAAAGTCCAAGCCCGCAGCCAGCGCGCGGGGCTTCAGCTTTCCTGGGACTTTGCGGGCCTGAGCGCCAAACACTAAAGAACACCCGAAGCATCCTACTCAGACACTGCCCTCCCTGCCTCCGATAATCTCCCCAACTCCAAGGGGCCTCCCCGCCGCCCGTGTAGATGGAGCTCAGCAGCAGGAGTCCTCCAGGAGGAGACTGGGGGCGGGCCCTCCTTACCTGCGCGGTCCGCTCGGGCCCCGCCCCGGGAGCCGCGGGGGGGTCCGGGAGGGGCTGCCCGCCGAGGGGGCGCCCGAGGAGACC